CACTTTCACCCTCTCTTGCACATAGTGTTACATGGAACCGGTTTTGGAATGGGAAAGGTGGCAAGGGTAAAAACATTTCCCTGGACTTGCACCTTGAGCACCTGAATAACTTCCTAAAATCCTTCTTAAAGCGCAGTGGGCCAAACATGACAGAGAAAGCCGCAGACAGGGTCAGCAAGTCACTCCATGTCCTTAAGGAAATGATGGACACCACGGACGGAGAACTTGAAGTCTCAAAAAGCAGTGTGGTCCACTGTGCTAGTAACTTCACAGAGGACATTATATGTTTAGTGAATATTTTTAAAGAGGTGAGGGTATTTCAAGCTATCACTGGCAGACAGTACAATGCATTCCCTAAATTCAACAGGGACCTATTTTATAAGTTGAAACATAGTGAGTTGTGGGGATGGATGAGGACCAAGCTATTAGAGTGGAGAAGTACTCCCATTTAGTGGACTGCCTTTTTTGTTTTGGAATGTACGTGCAATTAGAGATTTTTTTTTTTAAACATTTGTAATACTTCTATTCTTTATAACCCAATAATAAATAAAAGCAATTCATTTCAACTTGTTTATTAACATGTATTTTGTCGCTCTACAAAAAGTGTATACACGATTACATGTTAATTAGTGGTACCATGTATCAGAGTCTTGGCTGCTATGTGGCGTTGCAATGTCAAAGTCGTCGTCCTCATCATCTTCAAAATAACCAACAAAATTGATATCTAAATCAGGCAAAACCTCATGTGAAGTCGTATACTCATAATCAATGTCTCCGAAGACCTCACCAATTATAAGTAATATTTCTTTGGCATGCTCTAATCCAGTGTCTCCCAAAGTGGGGTCCGCGGCCCCCTGGTGGGCCGCGAGGGTACTGCAGGGGGGCCGCGGGAGGTCATAAAAAAAATTAAAAAAATAACATAATTATTTAATGTTAAATTTATAATGTTTTGTTTGTAATATTAAAATATTTGTGTTCATTATTTGACTTGAATAATCCACTGTAATCATTTTTGTATTACAATGTTTGTAGCAGAGGCTATTTCCCCAAAATAAAATAACCGGAAGAGCCTATTCTTAATGTTGTCTTCTTGGTTATTATTTTGGGGGGCCACGCAGACCCGTCAGATTTTTAAGGGGGCCTCGGTGTTACTGAGTTTGGGAATGGCTGCTCTAATCTAAATACTGGCAGATTCTTAACTATGTAGTTGAGATCAGAAATGTGTGCGCAATGCCCCACTACAGCTTCAATAAGGTCTGCTGTGCTAAAACCTGTACACACAGACTTGCTTGTGAAAACTGGATTTGTTTGGCAGTTTAATGATGACATATACTCCTCTAAACAGTCCTGAACCAACTGTCGTTCTGTTGGTTTCACCTCTCTGCACTTTAATGACTGGATCAAATTTTTAGATTGTTCATATAATGGTATGGGTTCTGTACAACTGTCACCCTCACATGCACATTGTGAATGGCAAAATGTGCAACACAAATGACCTGGAAATACACTACTTGTAGTCTCTTCAAAATGGGAGTAGAGAGCTTTTCGAAAGCAACCTTTTAAGCCATTTGCAATCACCTCTTTAACAGTAACGTCATCCCTCGTGACATGTTTGAGGATATACAAAATGGCATGTGACTGCAACCCATGCCTACCAGCGCTGCCAACTTGCTGAACAATGTCTTCAACATCATTTGGTGATCCATACATGACAACATGGGACACATTTGGAAAATTTAAGCCCATGCCCAACGCAGTTGTGGCAACTACTACCCTGCAGTGTCCCTCTCCATTGAGCGATTTTAGCAGCCTGTCCTTGTGATGTTGCAATGTCTTGCTGTGAAAAACTCCAATGAGAAGATTTTCAGACTGATGGTCATTGTCAACCCATGCGCCTTCACCAAGTTCTGCTTTTAGGTGGCAAAAAAGTCTCCCTATTGTTTTTAGAGACTTGCAATAGATAATGATTGGAGGCATTGATTGTTTTTTTTCTTGAATCATTGTCACAATCCAGTCCATACAGCTGAAGTTGTTAGATGGAACTTTACACAGTCCAAGTCTGATGTTCTCCCGGTTGGGGCTCACAGTCACTAAGGTAGCGGCTTCCATGTGCAAGAGTTTGGTTACACGGTCTCTGTGGTTGGTCTCAGCTGATGCAGTCATCGCCAAGACGGGTGTTCCTGAAAGGAATGAGCAAATATATAAGCCATACATTTACACTCATTGTCTACTTATTATTACATAAATGGCATTGATCTGAAAATTCACAGTAATAAAAAGGTGGGAGTGGATTATTTTTGTCAAACTGCAAATTTGTATATATTGCTATTGTATGAACCACAGCATGGCAAGTCCAAGACAAATTTCCCTATGAGACAATAAAGTTTATCTTATCTTAAATCTGTTAAAACACAAAGTAGTACAATGGGCATTGTCAAAATCATACAATAATTATCATGAATAAATGATCACATTAAAACATTACACAACTACTATACACTAATCTTATAGCCTATGCCATATGTTGTGTCAAGCTCCATATCAATCGAATCAGTCCCCCCCCTGCCCCTCCTTGAGAAAACTAATAACGTACCTTCACGAACAATAGATCGTAGTTCTCCAAGCCTGGAAAAACTCTCTCTGAAGGCTGGCTTTCCTGTCGCACCTTCCCCCCTAAAAAACATAAATTATACAGAAGAACGTTAAAGAAAATACTTCTAGTTGTTTTGTGATGTACATATATTCCATTACCTACCATTTGTATGTAGCGTGTACTTCATCCACGACGACCCCAACCAAGTTTTCCTGATAAACTCTGGATGCAAGCATGTTCCTCCATTTTGTATTTAGTAACCACGATTCTGGGCTACCGAAAACAAGCTGGCATTTTCTATTTAACACATCGCCTTCATCATCACCAAGCTTAGAAGCAGGAATGCCCAGATTTTTAGCTTCTTTCACTTGGTCGTCCATTAGAGCCAACAAAGGAGACACGACTATCACAATAGGATTTTGCAGCCTTTCAAGTTTTTTCACGACAAGTGGAGCAAGTTGGTATATTAGACTCTTGCCAAAACCCGTAGGTAAAAATGCACAAACATCTTTGCCGTCCAGAAATGCACAAAGCGCCTCTCGCTGTTCATCTTTCAAAAAAGAAATTGGAGATTCTGCTAAAACTGACTTGATAGCCTCAGCTACGCGTCCGTCCTCCTGCGTAGCCATGTTTGTTTTGCTTCGGCCCGGCACTTCTTGCTTTCGTCAAACCCGGATATCCCGCCCTAAACCCCCAGACTGGCGCGTGATTGGCTCGCACACCCAGTGGTTCGACTCGAAAAGTGTAAGCGGGAGCGGTACAAGATGTATTCTCGAGTGTTTGTGAACTCACAAATACCGCGAGAATTCAGCTTGCAGGCAAGATTAGGAATATGTAGTGTCTGCTATTATAAATTCTACATATACAGCATCCATCCATCCATCCATTTTCTGCCCTTTAATCCATTTCTGGGTCAGGGGGGTGGCAGTCAGAGATGCCACCCAAGTCTCATAGCACCAGCCCCTCACTGACCCTCTGCAGGTGGTGAGTCCACAGGAGGACGGCTGCTCTCTGAGTGTGAGCATAGCCTTGATCTTTCAGTGGGGGCTTTGGGCAAAGTGGGGTTAAGTGTCTTGCCCAAGGACACAACGACAGCAGTCATCAGTGGGAGTCGGTGGAGAAGGTGCAGAGGTGGGAATTGAACCCACGACCTTCTGGCCTTAAGGCCAATGCTCTACCAACTGAGCTACTGTCGCCCCACATATACAGCATGTATCTTTAAAATGTGTTGGGAACATCTGGGCCAAAATGGTAGAAGCAGCTGACCAGTCATGAGGTAGACGTGTGAGCAACACTAATGTTAGGACAATGTACATGACTGTCCTTAAATGTATGGGTTGCTTTTTCTGGATCTTGTGACTGTGTCTTATGACTTCTTCAACAATCTATAAGATGCTAGTCCGCGGTGTGATTCTTTGTCAGTCATGCCATCATCATTCTCGGAAGCTGACCCAGGCTGAGAGCGCTAAGCCTGAATTGGACTTGATGTAATCTGATTATGTCATTAAACTCTTTCTTTAATACATAACTCAGAGTGCATTCCTTCTCCAACAACTATACTGGTTTGTGCAGGAAACCCCATCTTCTGCTGATGAGAAGATACAACACAGGTACAAAAAAACCCCAAGAAACTGAGAAAATAGCAAGACTTGGTAAAACAAGAGCCACAAGCAAAGTTACCACGGTTAGTGAACTGACGAACTAGCAGAGAGTGGTGGAAGAGCCGGGTTTAAATATGGAGAGCTTGATTGTGGATGGACACTCACACACACACACACACACACTCACACACACACGTTTTTGTTACCTGGTGGGTCCCTTTGACAGGGCCGTTCAGAATGGGACCCATAGACATAATCTTTTTTACTGGGACTACTTTAAGTAATACAAAACAGTCAATAGAAAACAAACAACTCTTTTAAAGGAATTTTATTTTTGATTTTTTTTTTCGAATTGCAGTGATTCTATTTTTGACATAGAATTTAATGCCACTCCATGTCCGATGTCTAAGGTCATCTGGTGAGGCATTAATGCAGGCCAGGCCAGGCCAGGCCAGGCAGTGAGACTTCCCAGGGACTTTTCCAGTCTGTATGAAAGGCGTCATGGTCTTCTCCACCTCAGATGGAGACCATGGCTTTCTCTAACGTTCTAGGGAGACAAATAAAAATATATTAGGCAATATACACTCCCAGGGTTAGGACCAAGCAGCCTGGCTGTAATCCCCCACCTAGATTTTGTGGCTGAATGTGAGTGCGCATGTGAATGTTGAGCAAAGTAATGATGGAAGTTGGCCTTCCAGGGAAATCAATAGTATTGGAGGAAAGTGTAAAGGCCACAGAGGGCAAATGCATCATGTGGGAGCCTTGAGCAGTGCGCTGTGCGTGTGGTTTGCACGTCATGTGAATGGATGGTTTCGTGGGGGGGGGGGGGGGGGGGGGGGGGGGGGGGGGGGGGGGGGGGGGGGGGGGGGGGGGGGGGGGGGGGGGGGGGGGGGGGGGGGGGGGGGGGGGGGGGGGGGGGGGGGGGGGGGGGGGGGGGGGGGGGGGGGGGGGGGGGGGGGGGGGATGGGGGGGGGGGGGGGGGGGGGGGGGGGGGGGGGGGGGGGGGGGGGGGGGGGGGGGGGGGGGGGGGGGGGGGGGGGGGGGGGGGGGGGGGGGGGGGGGGGGGGGGGGGGGGGGGGGGGGGGGGGGGGGGGGGGGGGGGGGGGGGGGGGGGGGGGGGGGGGGGGGGGGGGGGGGGGGGGGGGGGGGGGGGGGGGGGGGGGGGGGGGGGGGGGGGGGGGGGGGGGGGGGGGGGGGGGGGGGGGGGGGGGGAGGGGGGGGGGGGGGGGGGGGGGGGGGGGGGGGGGGGGGGGGGGGGGGGGGGGGGGGGGGGGGGGGGGGGGGGGGGGGGGGGGGGGGGGGGGAACTGATGATGACGTAAGGGTCAAACAATGGTAATACTATTGATGTTAGTTTTATAGTATTATAATTGTAAAAATTATAGAAAGAGAAAGATTAAATTAGTGTGAGATAGTGGAGAACAGTTAGGAAAATATGGTGGGATGATGTGGGTAATGTGTGTATGTTGTGTTGAAGAATTCAGAAATAGTTGGTAGGGAGATGATGAAAAACAATATTATCAGCGCCAAGGCTTGTTACAGCATCTGTAGCAAAGTATTGTCCACTTATTTGAACTTGTGGTGTATTTGATGCCTTTTTTTCCATAAGTCACGCAAGGGCTTGTAGTTGAATAATAGCGAAATTTTCGAGGCACCTGTGAAATAAATCAAAACTGATAACATGCTATGATGTCACGTTATCTATTAAATTGGCACCATTTATTGAGTCAGTAATCATAAGTAATTAATTATTTAAATATGTTATAGAAATATTTTTAGTTAAAGGCAATCTGAATTAACCCCAAATAGTTATGAATGTAATTTTTAACAAATAGATCCAACTCTGGATTCAGGCCATGATGCTCTGTTGGCTCAGGTCATGATAGATGGAGACGTGTCTCATCATGGCCTTTGACCTGGCTCTTAGAACAATATGTTTCAGTTCAAAATCAATTGTTACATATATCATAGTTGTATCAGCGTTAGGACGCGTAAGAGAAGCCTTGACTACACTATCAATGTTGACTCCCATCTATGTAATATCTAGAGAGATATGTCTTTGTTACGCTGGTCTATTTAAAGTACATCATTTCCTCTTCGTGGCAGTCGATTCGGACGGCTGCCCGTGGGTAGTGGTATCGGTTCGGTTATTCATTGTATTGTGCACATTTATAATGAATACACTCACACTTTTTTTGGATTACAGAGCTCTGAGTTGTTACATATTTTACTCTTGGTATGTGCAGAATATTTCGGACCAATCTTTTTCGAAAATAGAAATCTGAAGGTAATGATTATCTTTTCCAAATTCTCTTAGACAAAGATTGTTTTTGCAGATTTAATTCAGTATGTATCAATACAGTTAAGATATGAAATATGCAGAATTAGGTCACGAATAACAGAAGGGAAAGCGTTGATTGCAAGATACATGCTTAAAATGCTATGACTAAGGTGAGAATACGGCTAAAGTGAGACACGGGCTAAAGCAAGGCTGTGCATGATGGATTGGAAGGCCGAGGCTTCCATGTGTTTACTTGACTTTGTAGGTCTCTTAATAGCCAACAACTGTGTGGAACAAGAGCAGATCATACAAACCCTGAGCCTTGAGTCGTGATGGCCTGGAAGCACACTTTTAACAACTATGGTTTAAAGTTCTAACTTCATTCTTACATATGCAGAAGCCTTGTACTTTTCCACTTGATGTTTTGATTTCTGAAGGCCCAAGCCACAAGCAAGTACGGGGCAGCCAGTTGATTGGAGTCTTGTTTCTCCTGAGTATAATTACCACATGCTGTCTGTATCATCTCTTGTTCGTGGGCGACTAACCATCCAACAATAAAGCATGTCTTTCTGTCGGATTAAAGACACATCCCAGACTTTGGCTGATTTCCCTAGGTGGAGGATTCGCATTGTCTGTAACCATCTACAAAACAAAGACTATATTTTTTTACACAAAAAATGAGTTTTTTTTTTAAGACAAATCTAAAATCCTCAAGAGAAACCATTGCATCTGGATCCAGCGCACTTGGACACTCTGCACAGCCCCTTATTCCAAATCAGCCTGCTGTGAAGCTGCTGAGACAAAGGACAATACCACCGTCCTCTTTTGCATGACATTCATTTGGAACAATTGCATTACACAATTTTGGCCATGATTGGAACAATGGATTGCTGAATTGGACATAATTTGGACTGATATTGGAATTGCTGAATCTGGACACTAAAGCTGAATCGGTGTGATTGAAAGACACGTAACAGAAGATCATGCTTCGTCACAAGAAATGCAGCCTGAGTAATCAACACGGAGATGTGGTAGAGACTGTTTTCAAAGCAATAGCTAAACCACCATCGACTGATAAAGTTGGTATTTTATTGAAGATGTTGACGAATTTTATGAAAGTCTGAACAGGTTTTTATGATTTTCCTGAGTTTTTGAATACCGAGTGAATACTGAGTTTTGAAGTATTGAGTTATGATGTGAGTTGCTGTTTATCGATCCTGATGCGTCGACACGTGAATGTGTGACCATAGGGGGGAAAGAAGTGATTTCATAACACTTTTATTCAACGATGGCTAATGTTCAAACTTCATCTTACATATGCAGGAAGCAGTACTTTTCCATTGATGTTTTTGATTTCGAAGTCAAGCTACAAGCATACAGTGGCAAGCTGCTGATTGGAGTCCTCTGTTTCTCCAGAGTATATATTCACTGCTGTCTAACGTTTGTGTGTTTCGTCGCTGTCTCTACCATTGACAATAAAACTAGGTTCCTTCTGTCTGAATCAAGACACAATCCCAGACTTTGTCATCTTCCTTCACTTTGTTTAAGACTGGATTTGCAGCTGCATAATGAGGTCCTCCAAAGAAACATCTCAATGTCGATGCTGGAGGCTATAGAAGTGAGAGTCCTCTCAACCTGAGCTGAGGTTTGACTGTTGAGTATAGACGCAGGTCCACCTCGACCCTCCTTTTCGCCCTGGAGGGCCAAGAGAGAGCAGAGATGAATGTGCTTGACACACAAAAATTGCTCAAAATTTTACAAGTAAATACTTTTCCAGTGAGGGGCTTTGCACCAACGGGATACGTATCTATCCTTTATTTCAGGGATTACCCACAGACAAAGTCATAAATCAAGAACTGGGCGATCTTTCCTGAAAACCTTCTCGTTCCGTGATTGTGCCATCAGCTTACTTTGAATTCCTTTCTTCCTAAAGAGTGTAACGTGTGGACCTTGTCGTCCGAAACCCCAGGGAGGCTGACTTTTGGGTCCCTTTCTGTCGATTCCATTTCTCTAGAGTGAGGAGAACATGTTGTAGCAGAGTAGCCATTTTTAAAGATGGCGGTTTGAGTTGTATTTACAATAGGGACAGGACGGAGATACAGGACACTGATTTCAAGACTTTGTTGAGTGGTCCGAAGCTACCCATCTGCTCCTGAATGGTGGACAAACCAAAGAGCCTGGTTGTTGACCTCAGGAGGAAGAGGACGCCAGTATAGCCCATCACCATCCAGGGCACAGGAGGTGAGATGGTGAACTGCTACAAGTACAGTGGCCTTGCGACGAATTCGTGCCCCTTGAACCTTTCACATTTTCCGCCACATTTTCAAGTTTTCCCGCAAAAAACATAAAGATATTAAATTATTTTTTTGTCAAGAATTAACAACAAGTGGGACACAATCGTGAAAGTGGAACGAATGTATTGGATTTTTTAAACTTTTTCAACAAAATAAAAAACGTAAAGTGGGGCGGCAATATTATTCGCCCCCCTTGCGCTAATTCCGATGTAGCGCCACCTATTGCTGAAATACTGCTGCAAGTTCGCCTTGGGGTATGTCTCCTATCAGTTTTTTGGCACAACGAGAGACTGAATTCTTGCCCATCCTCCTTGCAAAACAGCTTGAAGGCTCAGTGAGGTTGGTATGGAGACGTTTGTGAACAGCAGTCTTCAGCCCTCTTTTCCACAGATTCTCGGATTGGTGTTCAGGTCTGGACCTTTGACTTTGCCATTCTAAACACCTGGATACGTCTATTTGTGAACCATTCCATTGTAGATTTGGCTTTATGTTTGGATCATTGTCCTGTTGGAAGATAAATCTCGTCCCATCTCAGGTCTTTTGCAGACTTCCAACAGGTTTTTCTTTCCAGAATGGTCCTGTATTTGCTCCATCCATCTTCCCATCAATTTTAGAGCCATCTTCCCTGTCCCTGCTGAAGTAAAAGCATGGCCCAAAGCCATGATGCTGGCGCACCACCATGTTTGACATGTGGGGATGGGTGTTTTCAGGGTGATGATCTGTGTTGCTTTGCTATCGTTTTGCATTGTGGCCAAAAAGTTTTGATTTTGGTTTCATCTGACCAGAGCACCTTCTCCACATGTTTTGGTGTGTCTCCCAGGTGGCTTGTGGCAAACTTTAAACAAGACTTTTTATGGATATCTTTGAGAAATGGCTTTCTTCTTGCCACTCTTCCATAAAGGCCAGATTTGTGCAGTGCACGACTGATTGTTGTCCTATGGACAGAACTCTCCACCTCACTGTAGTTATCTCAGTTCATCCAGAGTGATCATGGGTCCTCTCAGTCTACATCTTGTTTGAGATGAAGTTTGGAGGCGGCCGGTGTCTGACATCAAATCTATCACAGTTTTCTTCTCCAAATTGAATTCCTTAGAAGGACAAAACATAAAGTTTGATTGGATAGGGGATCCAACGGCCGTGTCTTGTAGATTTGACCACTCACAGTACTTGGTGAGCGTCCCTTTCTGGATTTAAAGAAGCATTCGAACTCAGTGAACCATGACTTCTGGTTGTCTAATTGCAGGATTAATGCATAAGAGGCATGTGTTTAAATGGCTGGAAAGCTACCTGCTAATAACAGACACCAGTATGTTCAATTCGATCACTAAACTCAAACATGAAACTGTGGTATGTGGCATCCCACAGGGTATCCATAAATCGCCCAAAATTTTTATTTATCATAAATGACAATCTATGAAGCAACAAAGAGAATGGGCTTTCTATCTGTAAACCAGTGGAACTTGAGAGAAACTTAAATAAACTTCCAGAGTTTGGCACACCACGATCCGTCTCTGTCTGCTTGAATCCTAACAATACACTTGCTGTCGTAAAATCCCTTGTCCGTGTGCTTTGTTCGTGCTGTCTCTACCATCGACAATAAAACTTGTCTTTTGTCTGAATGAAAGACGCGATCCCAGACTATGTCATCTTCTTCAGCGCTACTAGATCAATAAAATAGCTTAGCTACAGAAAAGACAAAGATAATCATTGCAGCTTCTGAATAGCAGAACTTGATT